TTATATTAGTGACACATTTTGAGATCTAGTTCTCCTGAAACACCAAAGTGTTGGCATTTGTCAATGTCAGGCAATTGAACTCCAATAAATTAACAGGGGCATAGCTCCAAATGGCATGAAACTGGTAGACATGTCACAAAACTTACAAGTAGCCACAAAAATAACATACTAACTAATACTGTTTATATAATCTATTTTGTGTTTCATGATACATTCATATATATTCTCAGTTTTTATTAAGAACAACCATGGCTGTTGCAGGAAGTTTTGTCCTGTTTAATAGTCCAGGAAGCATTAAGAGTAGAGATATTCACATAGGCACAACACATATCTGATTTTTAGTCCATATTATAATATATCACTCAGTAAAGTGTCTTACAGGATAAAAGGGAAGTTTTCTTGCTACCTACATATGGAAGACTTTTAAAACATATGTATCTTTAAGAAAAGAATTGTTTTGGGATAGTCTCATCTGATAGGAAAATGGTTTTTTTATAGTAGAAGAATCTTCGCGATAGATACTTCAGAACTGATTATTTTCATTACTGACCTAATAAACTTATATATTTTTAATTTTATGTATTTTTTAAAAAATTTGTAAGGGTACATAGTAGCTGCATACATTTAGAGGGTACATGAGATATTTTGATACAGGAATTCAGTGTATAATAATTACATCAGGGTAAATGAGGTATCCATCACCTCAAGCATTTATCCTTCCTTCATGTTTCAAACAATCCAGTTATGCTCTTTTAGTTATTTTTAAATGTACAATAAATTATTGTTGACTGAAAATTATCTCTGTTCATTAAAACATAGTATTTAATTGCAGCCAGTCCAAGTAACTAGTGTTCTTATAGTTGTCCAAAATGTTTGTGTTCTAAGATAGCCTCATGTGAAAATGTTAAATAATGAATTGCATAAAGTAATTACTAATCAAACTACATTATGACCAACATTAAGAAACTGGCTTCAGCCAGGTGCGATGGCTCACGCCTGTAATCTCAGCACTTTGAGAGGCCAAGGTGGGTGGATCACTTGAGGTCAGGAGTTCAAGACCAACCTGGCCAACATGGTGAAACCCCATCTCCACTAAAAATACAAAAATTAGCCAGGCATGGTGGCACAGGCCTGTAATCCCAGCTACTTGGGAGGCTGAGGCAGGAGAATTGCTTGAACCTGGGAGGTTGCAGTGAGCTGAGATCACGCCATTGCACTCTGCACTCTAGCCTGGACAACAGAGTGAGACTTCATCTCAAAAAAAAAAAAAAAAAAGAAACCGCTTCTTTTTTCTACTAGAATGATGACATTGAATACTGATACAACATCACATGGCACATGGCAATATTTTTAATTGTTTGATTTTTTTTTTCCATTTATGCCTTGAAATTTACCAAAAATTATGAGAACTTTTAATATTTTAACTGGTCTGTATACTATTTTAAGAACATATTGACTCATGGTCTGGTGCAGTGGCTCACAACTGTAATCCCAGAACTTTGGGAAGCCAAGACGGGCAGATCACCTTTTGTCAGGAGTTCGAGACCAACCTGGCCAACATGGCGAAACCCCGTCTCTACAAAAAATACAAAAATTAGCCAGGCGCGGTTGTGGGCGCCTATAATCCCAGCTACTGGGGAGACTCAGGCTGGAGAATTGCTTGAGCTCGGGAGGTAGAGGTTACATTGAGCCAAGACTGTGACACTGCTCTCCAGCCTGGGTGACAGAGTGAGACTCCGTCTCAAAACAAAAAATAAAATGAACCTATTGATTCCTAATGATATTTTCAAGATGAGGGTGAAAAGGATGGTATTTTTATGAGGGAGAAACATCAGACATCATCTTAGTTTTTAAACTAATATGATTTGGGTATTAGTAGAACAATTATATTGACTATTGAATTTATGTATTTATATATGTTTATACAAATTGTTAGGAAGTGTCGCTTGTTAGAATATATGTTCAACAAATAGAATGTTTATTTGGGCCCATTTAGGACTAAATAGCTTACATTTAAATATTGGTTATGATATCTTCACAGATAACACAGGCAAATTATCATTAAAATGATTTGTATTTTGTTGTTATTTGTTAACATTGAATTATAATCAGTTTGAAACCAGCATGTATCACTGTGAAAATAAATGCTAGTCTCTGTTTCAAGGAGTTTTTAAAAATCAAAGCAGAGGATCACTTACAAAGCAGATAGTGGATTGAATGAAAAATCAGACAAAGGGGCAGAAAGATTTGTAATAGGTACTGCCCTTCTTACGGTTTAGCATTTAGGTAGAAGTGCTTGAAGATATTTTTGAGATTATTCTTTACAAATATATTTTTCCTCCATTTAATAGTATTTCATTCAACAAAAATTTATTGACCTCTCTATGCCAAACATTGAAGGAAAAGAGTAAAAATCAAGAGGATAAATGCATTAGTAAGTACAGGCAAAGATATTTTTAGTAAGCATACATTTATTGTGAACATGCTCAGTGACAGGTGACATAGTGCTCAGTGCTGGCAATATAAATAAGAATACCCTGGTACCTGCTTTCATGGAGGTCTCAGTTCATTTGGCCAAATAAACTAAAAATTGAAGTTACAGTATATTATCAGATAAGTGTTATAATAAAAGTAAGTAGTAAACATTAAGGAAACATACAGGAGAAAACACTATAAGGAAATCTAAGGGAGGCTTCCCAGATAGGATACTAGAATCTTGATGGATTTATAGAAGTTAGTAAGGCCAAAAAAAAAAGTACATTTCCAAGTAGATGGAGTAATGTTCAAACTTTCAGAGTGAGAGAACATGTGGAGGAATGACTAATTAAATAAAGCTGGAAGAGTTGAAAAGAAAAGGGTATTGACAAAGGATGAGGCTACATAGATGAGCAAAAGACAGACCCTTCTAAGAATCTGGGCTTCCAGTCTGTAAGCAGGGAGAGCCATAAAAGGATTTATAGCAAGGAAGCAACATGATGAGATGTACATTTTAGGGAGATCACTCTGGATACTATTGGAAAGCTAAAAAATGTTCAGTTATACCTGTAAGCTCTTTCCAGGATAAGAGTATGTGTGAATAATTCAGTAATAACAAAGTTTAAGAATTACTCAGGTTTGCGCAACTTGGTTCTTTTGAGATATTTGTAAATTAGGTTCTTTATATAATTGCATTAACAGACAATAATGGAATGTTATATTCTTAGCATAACCCTGAGCTGATCAAATATAAGAAGTGGAAAACTATTGATAATTGTTGGAAATTCCTGTCTGACCTCTCTTTTGTCTGACTATTTAATGTTGATCATATTTTGTACTAAATCAGATGATACTAAGTGATGGCATTTACCATTCTAAATTGCCTGGACCTCCCTCTAGTGCTGGGTTTATAATTAAAAGGACATATATTACAAAAGAAGAAAAGAAACTGAAACTCAAAAGGAGTATAAGATTATGAGATAGGTTGAGATCTAAGAGGTAGAAAGTTAGGGAAGCATCCTTTCTCTTAATTGCCTCCTACACTGTAGCATACCTCTGTTTCTCTTGCTCACATATATTAAAAAGTTCTACTGCTGAAAATATGTATATGACTCTAAAGGCCTATATAGCTCACTCCAAACGTTTTAGCTGTTTTTATTATTTTCATTGCCTAAGAATAATATCGTAAATTCCATGATATTATAACCAGTTCTCCCTTTTGCCTTGAGGTAGGGGCCAGGCTAGCAATTTATAAGAAACATTATTATTTTTATTATATAGAAAGTTTCTAGATAGATATTATTGGCTACTTCAGTAAACATGTTGATTTATAATTGAAACCAAAAAATTGAGTACCATAATTATTTTTAAAAACTAAGTAAACATGACTGCGTATTTTGAAATTTTAGCTAAACAATGCATAGTATATAGTCGTAGTTTATGGCATATAAGTTATCTGTATGAATTCAACAGACTGAACCTTTCATACCTACCAAACCTATCTAACTTAATACAGATGACTATAAGCAAGCTTCAAAAAACTTTGATTTCCATTCATGTGAACCCAGGCTCTCATAAAAGTGAGTTTCTACTATTTTCCATGCAAGCAGCTAGCTTCCTTGCAGCACCTTGCCACTTAATTCCAACACAAATATCTTCCTACAGCAAAAAAAAATTCACTTATGTGACCATATGTCTGTGTTAGTCATTGCATATTATAGACATCTAGTTGATAATACTGGCTTTGTACAATTGAGGTCAAATCATATGGATCATCACCTTAAAATTATTCCAACTTGAGATAAAATGTGGAAAAATTGTACTTCTGCCATCTGTTTTATATTAAATATGAAATTATTTAATTCAGAATTGGAAAGAGACAATTGACTTGTTTATAGTTTTTATTTTGCCATAAAGGAAAATTGCATCCTTTATGACATTAAAGAAGAGCTGGAAGTGAGAACACACTTACCAGAGTTCACATACTGAAGTTTATTTTCTCAGGCTCAAGTAATCTGTACTGTCTCTTCTAAAAATGGTTGACCAAAAGGAAGGTTTAAAGACTGCTCTTTCATGAGAAATAATTGACAATGGAAGCAGTAAATACCTCTATTAAGTTAATTTCTTGCTTGCACTCTATCTCAGTTTTTACCTACTCAGGCTAATTTGCAGGTGCCTGGGATGAGTAGACAATCCATAATTTCTACCAATCAAGTAAAAGAAGGAAAGAAAACTGAGCTTCTCTCCCAGTTACCAGGTAGTTTGCTGTGGTTAAAATTAATGCAGACTTTACAGCAGCAGATACTGGCATTTTTATTTATTATAAGTAATTATTTTGAAATTTGGGAAATGAATAGTTGAGTACATCATTTGAGTGTTTATTTGACCAGTTATTAGTGCAAGGAACCATCATTTAAATGTTCTCTATGTATTATAGCAAATAAATTTCTCTCTTCATTTTAATGTGTTTTAAGAAAAATGAAGTATGGTTACTTTTACTTGAAAATATGTTTTATTTTTTGCAGTGTTTGAGCAACACACCTCCACTTACTGAGTATTTCCTCAATGATAAGTATCAAGAAGAACTGAATTTTGACAATCCCTTAGGAATGAGAGGTGAAATAGCTAAATCTTATGCCGAACTGATCAAGCAAATGTGGTCTGGAAAGTTTAGCTACGTCACCCCAAGAGCCTTTAAGGTTAGTGTGATAAATGCATTTTAGCAAGGGCACCTACAAGGGTACAAAGGTTGGTTCTTGGGGTAGGGGGAGTGAAAAATAGTAGCTATTACAATGGTTTGTGGCCCTCCAAAGGAATACAGTACATAAATAGATATACAATATATCTGTGGTATAAAATTTAGGTGGGAGGGATATGGAAGAGTTTTATCCGTTTTGTTTTTGTTTTTGTTTTTGTTTTTGTTTTACGTCTAAATCTGGGATGGGGAGAATAATGAAAAAAAGTTGAAAAACACTGGTGTGGTACAAGAATGACTATAGAGACAGCAAGTTTGTATAGTTGTTTTGTAATATAGTACATCTCTGGAAAACCTACGTGAATATTCTATACAAATGTAAAAGACTAAATTTGGGCATGTTACTGAACTCTTAAGAACCCATTTTACTTTGAGAGTCATGAATTTGAAAAATTATCAAAATGAAAATTGTCTGCAAACCAAGCACTAAAAATTAAGTGTACTTTCAATATGGTTCTTAAACTTTTAAGGTTATTCACATGTGTGAATTGTTACTTATCAAGGTATTTATTGTTCAAATAAGAACTGAGCTGAAATTAAGCTTTATGTTGTTAAAAAAATTCCTACTTAACTATATAGGTGAAACTTCGAGAAATTTTAAACTTTTAAAGAGAATAAGCAATTTTAAGTTGTTATTTATACAAGTAATTTAAATGGCATTGATATAGGACATCTACTAGACAACATTTTTTATTAGCTATATACTAGTTCTTAGAAAATAAAAAACAACCAGCAAATCAAAATACCTCTGTATTTGTCTTCCTTAACATCCTAAACTTTGGACATACTAGTCCAGACAAACCATCTCTCAGCTCTTTCCCATCTTTCTAATTGGTTTTGTTTTGGTAGATTTTCTGTCTTGAAATTATGTGTAAATAGGTTCTTGATTTATGTGAGTTTTTTCTGTCACATGATGATTCATACTATTAGATTTATTTTCAGTCTCATCCAAAAAAAAATACTTAGTGATGCAAAGATTTGGAAAATTGAATATGAACATTAATGTTTCTGTTATCTCTATAAGACTCATCCTCCTTTTGCACATAAAAACTAAGTGAGAGCCTAGAGTAGTTATCTTAAAAATGCTTTCAGATACGTAATTATCTTTATGTGGTAATACAGCAAGGATGAGAACCTGCCTCTTACTATCTACCTACCAGACATTTATAGGAGGAGGCAATAGGAATACCTAAAGCTAAGAATTAAGAACATCTGGAAAATCCTTTGACAAATAGTGAAACAACAATTAATGACAATGAAATCTATGACCAAAGATCAATACATTTTTATATATAAGGATTACATGTGTTGATCTATTTTGTCCCAGATAAGCTTTGTTGAGTGCTTACTAGGAATTCAAAACAAAATATAATTCATATATATTCCTGTTGTTCATGTATACAATTTTTATTATTCACAGGAGTGAGTCCTTAACACTGAACTCACAGCAAACAGCACTGTAACTCATGTCTTAATGAAGCATATCTAACACATACTTTTTCTCCAAAAAGCACATCACAGCTTTCTTGCATTTAGGAACACTAGCCTGGCATGTTAGTACTTCGTTTAGTGGCCATTTTAAATACTGAAATTAACAACAAAAAGAACAAAAATGTGAAAAAACATAACACTAAATAAACTACAAAGGACACTTGTTTATAGATTCAGAACTGAAACAACAAGCCAAAGCATCACCTTGTTCAACCCCAGCTGGTATGACGCATACCAGGTGACTCAAATTTTTTGCCAAATGACCATGAATTGATTTTGGGGTTACAAATAAATTTTAGCAAGCAGGCAGATTCACAAATGTGGAATCCATGAATAATGAGAATCTATTGTACATATTTTTAAAAATCAATCCTGTTCCTAGAACTGATTTTATGGTTCTGCATTTCTTACAGACACAGGTAGGACGTTTTGCACCTCAGTTCTCTGGATATCAGCAGCAAGACTGTCAAGAACTATTAGCTTTCCTATTAGATGGATTACATGAGGATTTGAATCGAATTAGGAAAAAACCATATATACAATTAAAAGATGCAGATGGAAGGCCAGATAAGGTAAATTTCATGATCTTATTGTCACCATTGTTATAATTTTGTGATAACCTCTTTCTAATTTGTGTCTGTTATCCTTGTAGGTAGTTGCCGAAGAAGCCTGGGAAAACCATTTAAAACGAAATGATTCTATCATAGTAGATATATTTCATGGCCTTTTCAAATCAACTTTAGTTTGTCCTGAGTGTGCTAAGATTTCAGTAACATTTGATCCTTTTTGTTACTTGACACTTCCATTGCCCATGAAAAAAGAACGCACTTTGGAAGTTTACTTAGTTAGAATGGATCCGCTTACCAAACCTATGCAGGTAAATCATGGGGGTTTTTTTGTTTGTTTTTTTGGTTTTTTTTGCATTTGTTATTTTTATTAAAAAATTAGTGTTGAGTCCTTATTATAAAAATTAAGTGTTGAATTATCAAGCCCAATCAATAATGTTTATTTGTATAAGAGATTTTATAAGCTGAATGCTTTGGAAATTAGTGTAACTTTTTACAACCTTGAAAGAGCAACATGTGTCATATAAAAAATTCTCAAACGGCTTTTTCTCATGAAAGAAAGATGAGAGGTTTGTTTTTATAATATTGGGTGAATATTAGCTTATGAAGATTAACATTTTTATATTTTTTAAACTTCAAGTTTCTTTCATGTTAATTGTAATTTTTTTACTAGTGGCTATTGGAAGTAAAGCTAATACTCTACATTTTAATTCATAATGTGATAATAGTGTATTTAAATACTTGTAATTTTTAGACATTTTAGGAACTTAAAGTAGAAGTTTAGTTAGACTGAAAATATTTCATTCAGTAATGTTCTCTAATTTTTAATACTTTGAAGTATCACATATTACTTATTCTGTGCAAAAGTCCTGTGGTAAGTCTTACTGTCAGATTGTCTGCCTGATTCCGTTACCTAGTTTTATAATTGCATTATTTATATTTTTTGGGTAAATTTATATTTTTTGTCTTTTCTCCCTTAGTTATTATATAATCCTCTTCTGACACTTGACCCATCCCAGTGAAAGTAACTTCTTCTTTTTCTACCTCTCTTTCCCTAAATTCTAACACTTAACTAATTTTATTATAACTTTTGGCTTACTTTTACATTTTCTCCTTAGACTACAAGTTCTTTGAAGACAGGGACCTTGTAAACCTTTGTATTTCCAACTTTTGTGGCTTGTAGATATTAATGCACAAGAAGTATTCAAAAATTTTATTCATCAAGATACTTAACTATGCACCTACTAAGTATAAAGCTGTTTCACTAAACAAAACAGATACGATTCCTGCTTTAGAAGATTGTTTTCTGTAAATTTTTAGCCAAATAGCTCAGTTTGTTAGTTCGTAATAGTCATGATGTCTATATGAAAGCTATACTTTGAACAAAATTATGATCTTACCATTCAGAGATGTATTTGGGTTTACTGTCAACAAAGGCAGAGTGTATGTAGTGTTCATAAAAACACAGTCCCTTTATTCAAAGTAATTAAAGTCTAGTAGATACTAGGTATGTACTTAGTTATGCAAATTTAAGCTATTTGTTTTTCTGCTGCTTTATGTTTTCTTTATGAACTCATTGAACACAGTGCCCTCATCAGTATTTCACTGGGGAGTGCTAAGTACTATCCCTTATCTGTGACCAGAGCCAATAAAGACCTGCTTTTACTTTTGGCCTGGGGAATATGTGTTCACATTTTTAAAGTTATGTCCTTTAGGTATTTACTTATTCACTCTTTTTTAAGTACAAGATTGTTAACATTCTTTTCAATGGTGAGAAACTATAACAGTGCCAAACCACATCCTTACCTCTCTAGTTTGTAACTTTGCAAATATACACCAATGAGTGTAATGGAGCAAGAGAGCATAGAATAATGAGTATAAATTTACTGCAAGAAAAAATAAATGTAGATATTTTATTCCTCTACAGCACATTTGTTAGAGATAATATTCTCCCATGCCAATAATATACGTAATCTATATCATAATAGTGGCAAATTGCATTCATTTACACATTAGTCCATAAGGTATATGATAAGTACTCTTCCATAAATTGGGCTCGAAATTATTTTTCCAGCAATGTGAATTTCATTGACTTACCACTTTTCTCATTTGGTGACCAATGATATAAATTTGTGGAAGTTAGAGCCATGGTTAGCACAGAGAAATTCGGTTGTTTTTGTGTTTTGTGTTTTTTTTTTTTTTTCTTTTTTCCATTTAGAGGCAGTACCAACTCAAATACAAAATGATCACTTGCTTTAACCAGTTCGTGAGGAAAGTGAAATTAGCTGAGTTTGCCTATTGAGTTTTCCTATCACTGAAGTTGATTTAGGTCATGGAAGCTTACTAGGAAAAATACTGAATATGTATTATGTCTTGGGCTCTCATGCTGTGCAAGGTGCTAGAAATATAATGGTGTTTCTGGTCCTTGTTCTTCAAGAAGCTTGTCATACAGTGTGAAAATTGCTCTGACAGGGTGCTGCAAGAAAACAAGGTACTGCAAGAAAACACAGAAAGAGTAACCTACCCAAACTAGTTATGAGGCCTGTGATGAATTCTGAAGGACAATTAGGTTATAAGCAGGTGAAAACTAGAAATAAAAGCATTATAGGCCAAGATAATGGCATGTAGAAAGAACTTATGGCAAAAGAGGACATGGCCACTTCTGTAGTCTACAAGTATGGCAAGCAGGAGCTAGATCACAAAGAACTTTGATGCCAGTATAAGAAGTTTGAACTTCATCCTAAAAACTAGGGAAGCCATTAAAGACTATTAAGTATAGATATTATATGGCCAGAATTGTGTTTGAGAAAGATGATTCTGGCTAGCACAGAGATTGGTTAGAAAAGGCTTAGCACTAAGACCAGATAAGAAGCTTTTAGTGATCAGACGACAGACAAATGACAAACGCTTCAGCTCAGAAAATGAGTGTCAGGATGGCAGTTTGAAGAACCAGTTGAGTGTGGGAAGTGAAAATGTATGAGTATATTCAAAGATGATGCCAAGTTTACTTGACGGGAAAAGAGGAGACAGCAGTGCTGTTTTAGTGGAATATATAGGAAGAACAAGTTGAAGAAGGAATCGATTTTCGTATTGAGCATGGTGGCCTAACATGACCCAATCCTGTGTTTAGCATTGGACATGCTGACTTATAGATGCATGAGAACACTTAGGTAGAGATATCCAGTAGGCATTGAATTTGTGTGTCTAGACCAAAGGAGAGAGACTGCTTTAGATGTAAATTGGGCAATGAGCTCTATGAAAATGATAGTCAGTGTTTTAGAAGAATGAGATTACTTAAGGCTAAGGTGACCCTGCGATTTATCATCTAAACAAGAACTCTTTTGAAAATAGAAGGGACTGTCATTAATAATTATACTAGGATATCAGGCTAATCCAGGACTGGCCAAAGCAAATCAGGAGATACTGTCACCTCATCCAGGGAGAGCATATAAAATTGAGAAGAAGGCTAAAGACAAAATTCTAAAGAACACTATAGGAGAACTTCAAAAGGAGAATATGATCACAGCAATAGAAAAGAATTAAGAAGTAGTCGTGTTATAAGGAAAGGGAATTTCTTAAGGAGAAAGTGGTCAGCAGTCATATTACAAAGAGGTCAATAAAATAAAGACTGATAAGTTGTACAACAGTATTGGCAACCTTGGAAACAAGTTAAATAAAGAGGTGAAGACAAGCCAGCAAGAGGGTTGAGAAGTAAATGTGATAAGGAAATTATGATAATATAGATACCATTAATAAAGTTATTTATAAAATAGAGGGAAAGGGGAGATAATTAGAGGGAAAGCAATGAGGGACGCTTGTTTTTTGAGAGACTTTATATTCCAGTGCTTATGCAAGAGTCAAGATAAAATGGAAGAAAGAATAATTGCTGGGTTTAGGTCCCAGAGAAAGCAGAAGAGCATGGGATTTAGAGCATAGATGCTAGGGTTAGCCTTGAATAAGAAAAGAGACACCTGTCTTCCCATGTGTTGCAAGAGACAGAAAAGTACCTATATGTATTCAAAGAAGTTAGTAGGAGAACAGGAAGTTGGTGATTTTCCCACCCAGTAGCTTCTGTTTTTGAGGTAAAATAGGTATTCTGCTGATATTAAGGGAGCAGTAGTGAAATAGGAAGCCTAACGAATGGTGAAGTTTTTTTGTTTGTTTGTTTGTTTTTGAGGTGGGGTCTTGCTCTGTCACCCAAGTTGGAGTGCAGTACGGTGTGATCTCAGCTCTCCCTCACTGCAACCTCTGCCTCCTGGGCTCAAGGGATTCTCCCACCTCAGACTCAGTAGCTGGGACTACAGGTGTGCGCCTCCATGCCCAGCTAATTTTTTGTATTTTTGTAGCAACAGGGTTTTGCCATGTTGTCCAGGCTAGTCTCGAACTTCTTGGGCTTAAGCGATTCACCCGCCTTGGCCTCCCAAAGTGTTGGGATTATAGGCGTGAGCCACTGCACCCAGTCCGATGAAGATTTTAAATAGTTATTGAGATAAATGAGAGAATAAGCAGATGGGTGATATGCAGAATTATTTCTGGGTACTGTCAAAGGGTCGGTTGAGATTGGGCACTGTGAATTTGTAGCACACCAACCTCTAAAATTGAGAAATTTTCTCCAGCACTTATGAACAGCTCTGAGAAAGTTTAGCAAGAGTGGAATGAATAGAATTGAGTAATAAAGACATTAAAGCTTTGCGATAAAGCATGTAGGTCCTGGGTGGAAGGGCAAGAAGACAGTAGGGAGCTGGTAAACTGGGAGAAAACAGAGTTAAAAGGAATAGAAATCTCTGTGCAAGCCAAGAAGAGAGAAGAATGAATTTCCAGAAGTAAGAAGTAGCGGTTAGACAGTAGCCTGTTAGTTTAAGATAGTAAAAGTGGGGCTGGGTGCAGTGGCTGACTCCTGTAATCCCAGTATTTTGGGAGACTGAAGCAGAAGGATCACTTAAATCCAGGGTTTTGAGACCATTCTGGGCAACATAATGAGACCTCGTCTCTAAAAAATAAAAATTAGCCACTCATGGTGACACACACCTGTAGTCCTAGCTACGCAGGAGGCTGAATTGGGAAGATGGCTTGAGGCTGGGAGGTTGAGGCTGCAGTGAGCCAAGATCATGCCCCCGTACTCCAGCCTGGGCAACAGAGTGAGAGCCTGTCTCTAAAAAACAAACAAAAAAACATAGCAAAAGTGGGAGCAGTTTCAAGTGATGACAGGATCTAATAAGTTGACTAAGGTTGATTAATGCAAATGTCTTTGAATTGAGGAGCCAAGGAATGATAAGACTAGGACAAATTATCCATGTGGACATTGTCACCCAGGACCCAGGATGGTGGCAAGATTAGAAACAAACACTGAGCCAAATGCCAAATGAATGTGAGGTAGCAACCATGAGGTCACTCTCATTTACTGAATTTTTTTTCCAAAGTAACACATTTATTACAATTCTTTTTTGTTTTTTAGTACAAAGTGGTTGTCCCCAAAATTGGAAACATATTAGATCTTTGTACAGCATTGTCTGCTTTGTCAGGAATACCTGCAGATAAGGTAAGATGTTTCTGGGGTTGAAGTATATAAGTTGGTATTTAGTTTCTTAGTGTTGTAAAACCAGCTTAATAGAAATTTGTTTCCTTTTAGATGATAGTTACTGATATATACAATCATAGATTTCACAGAATATTCGCTATGGATGAAAACCTTAGTAGTATTATGGAACGGGATGATATTTATGTGTAAGTATAAAACTCATTGTGCAAAATATTACTTGAAAAAAAAAATCAAAAGAAGTAACATAAAATTTTGAGAGTTTATGGTCAGTTTTGTCCTTGTAGGTTTGAAATTAACATCAATAGGACAGAAGATACAGAGCACGTGATTATTCCTGTTTGCCTAAGAGAAAAATTCAGACACTCAAGTTATACCCACCATACTGGTTCTTCACTTTTTGGTCAGCCTTTTCTTATGGCTGTACCACGAAACAATACTGAAGACAAACTTTATAACCTCCTGCTCTTGAGAATGTGGTAAGTGCCAAACAATTCTACATTGACAAAATAAATATGGGAATAAAATATAAAATAGCTAATAAACACACAAGGTACTATCAGAATATAATTATACAAGTCTGTATTGTCTCAATTTTGTTTATAGTCAGATTATAGTCCTAATCCACTTTCTTATTCACGTAAAACACATTATGGAGGTAATTTCAAACCCAGGAAGCATGAAGTCTGTAGCAATTTTAGGCCAAAAGTTTACAGTTGGAAGGAAATAGGAATTTATGTTATAATAATTATGTGTTACATGTTTGTTCTGTGAAATCATAACAAATGTCAAATGCTATATATTTGCACTGTGAAATAACAAATGTCAAATACTTCATTTCTTTATATACATTACCAGTTCATGATTAATAGTATTGTAAGGCAGCCTTTTTGCCTTCCTAAATCCCTTTATTTGAATTATAAAGTTATCAAGAATTGCATTTGATCCCTTTTATCTTTGAAAGCTGATATATTTAGTATTCTTTCTTGCATATCTAATTATTATAGTTTCATAACCCATATGTAAAGATCACATTATACAAAAATAAGTGTTTTTAGCAACAATATATACCATCTAAATGAGGATAAGTTGAGAAATTATTTGCAACAAATATTTAACATTTAACCTAAAAGGTAACATACTAATTATTTTTATAAAGAGGAGCAAAACAAATTATTAGTCAGTTATATGTGTGGTACTGTAAGTTTGATTTTAACCTTGAATCTACTAAGTGACCACTGTTACTGCATTAAAAAGTTTTGTTTTACTGATAGAATGAAAACTTTTTTAAAGTTTTTATCTTTGTAGTACTGAACTTGTTTGATTTCTGATTTTACTCAAGCCGATATGTCAAAATATCTACTGAAACTGAAGAAACTGAAGGATCCCTACACTGCTGTAAGGACCAAAATATTAATGGGAATGGCCCAAATGGCATACATGAAGAAGGCTCACCAAGTAAGACTTTTCTGTTAAATTATAAAAATGTTTCACTTAAGTAATTGCTTCAGAGAGAAAGTTAAGAAAATGGGAATTAAAGAGCTAAAATATACCAGCAAACCTATGACTAATAATATTAATAATTTAAAAATATAACATTGGGTTTATTTAAAGTTCTCTAATATCTAAAATTAGGTGAAATGGAAACAGATGAGCCAGATGATGAATCCAGCCAGGATCAAGAACTTCCCTCAGAGAATGAAAACAGTCAGTCTGAAGATTCAGTTGGAGGAGATAATGATTCTGAAAATGGATTATGTACTGAGGACACTTGCAAAGGTCAACTCACGGGACACAAAAAACGATTGTTTACATTCCAGTTCAACAACTTAGGCAATACTGATATCAACTACATCAAAGATGATACCAGGCATATAAGATTTGATGATAGGCAGCTTAGGCTAGATGGTAAGTATTTGTGAAAAATGGCTTGAACGTTAAACAAGCAGAGCATGTTTTTTTGTTTTTTTGTTTTTTAGGTGAAAACCATGAAATTCAGCCCTGTCAAGAAATACACCATTTACTTTTCTATCTCAAATTTTATATGAAAGGACTTAATATCTAAGTAGACTAAAATGTGTGTCTGTGTTTCATAAATGGAGATTGAATTCATGCTTAAGTTTTCTATCTTTTTTTAAACTCTTAAATTATTTCAATGGCTTGGAAACTGCTATTTGCCCTAATCACCTGTACAAGTAGAAAAGATTGCTATTTATTTATTCTAGTGTATATCCTAACATTAAAATATACTTTAATACTAAGACATATTAAATTTTAAAGAAAAAATATGTTTTCCACCTTAGAAAGATCTTTTCTTGCTTTGGATTGGGATCCTGATTTGAAAAAACGATATTTTGATGAAAATGCTGCTGAGGTAAGTCATCACTCACTTATTTACCTTTCCTTGATTTACTTTATGTGATTACCAGAGATAATCATAACTGTTGTGTTACATTCTTTGCTTCCACCAAATGTTCATTTTGCCGGTAAAAAATTGGTCATGAACTAGAAAAGACAGTCTTTGCAAAAATACCTTGTTTTTCCAAAGGTTCAGAGTTCATTTTGAACATGTTTTGCTCATCCATATAGGAGTGTACAGGAATTATTTAGAAGTATGATATAAATCTCAACTGAAATAAGCTTTATGATTCTTTTGAGAAAGTTTAGGAGTTTTCATTATTATTCGTAGTAAGATGGTACCACTAAAATGAGTTTTGTTTCATTTGTTCTCTTAACTCAAGAAATACTTCTCTTTAGGACTTTGAAAAACATGAAAGTGTGGAGTATAAACCTCCTAAAAAACCCTTTGTGAAATTAAAAGATTGCATTGAACTTTTTACAACAAAAGAAAAGCTAGGTGCTGAAGATCCCTGGTAAGAGACAAAATTAAATAATTGTTTTTGTTTTCTTTAAGGGTTTATTCTGAGATACGTGCCACATTAACTTGAAAAAGTAATTACTAAATTCTCTTTGATGTTTTAAATAGTAAAGGATTCTTTATATAAGTGGTAGCCTTTTAAGAGGGATAGGAATGTCTTAAAAAATACTGTTACAGTGTTGCCTTAATTTTATTACTGTGTTTTTCCTAATAGCCATTATACTATTAATAATTCATTTTAGTTACTTGTTTTCCAAGAAATTTTAGCTATGTAATCATTTTGAGAGAAGCTTTTTAGGAAAAGTGTAGTGATATATTTTGTGATGTTATTCCATTAGAGCCCAGTTTTGAGATTTTCTAATACCTTTCTTCCAGCACAGATGTCTTTTTTGCATACTAAAAGAGAAATAATCTAGCCCTCATTATGTCTTTAAATATTTGTTTGTATATTAATTTATAATGGTTTAACCTTTTTGGAAAATGTGTTGAAAATAAAAATAACAAGGGTTGCTTTCAACCTGGTACATATTAGGCATACGATAATTGCCCACTGAATAAATGTAGAACTTTCCAAACATTTTTTGTTATTTTCAATAATGGGGGTTGTTTGTACCTCTCTCAAGCTTTAAATACTTCTCTTTATTCTTAGGTATTGTCCGAATTGTAAAGAACATCAGCAAGCCACAAAGAAATTGGATTTATGGTCCTTGCCTCCAGTACTTGTAGTACATCTCAAGCGATTTTCTTACAGTCGATACATGAGAGACAAGTTGGATACCTTAGTTGATTTTCCTATCAAGTAAGCTTTAATTGTATTTTATAAGTATTGAGCAACTCTTCTTTCAAACTTACTTGATGCTTTTTGTTATTATCCTTTAGTAAATATCAGGTGCCATTGGACCCAATTTGAGCTTTCAAGTTTGTTTTTGAGTAGTTCTAACAATTTATAAGGATCAGTGTTTCAAAATTTTTGTTTTTTCTTAGAGATTTTCCAAAGACCAAAGAGGAAATATACTTTTAAAAACTAAAAACAATAAAACTCCTTCTGTGTTATATTACCTATGGGTTAATTGGTCTCATTTATAAATCTAAGATACTTTATGGTACTTAGTAATTTTGTTTATCTAGGAATTATTTCATCATTACTCATCACTTACTCCTAAATATGTTGGGTTTTCTTGGTGGTTTTTTTTTTTTTTGGTTGTTTGTTTGTTTTTTGAGACAGAGTCTCACTCTGTTGCCCAGGCTGGAGTGCAATGGCACAATCTCAGCTCACTGCAACCTCCACCTTCTGGATCCAAGTGATTCTCCTGCCTCAGCCTCCCAAGTAGCTGGGATTACAGCCACCTGCCACCATGCCCAGCTAATTTTTGTATTTTTAGTACAGACAAGGTTTCACCATATTGACCAGGCTGGTCTCAAACTCCTGACCTCAAGTGATCCGCCCGCCTTGACCTCCCAAAGTGCTGGGATTACAGGCATGAGCCACCACGCCCAGCCCTAAATATGCTGTTTTCAAAAAGACTAAAATAAAACAGAATAATGGAATTGCTTAGAAGGATAACACCGTAGTGAAATAAATCATCCCTATTACATCATCCTTCAGTTTTCCTATTGCCATTATATGACATCATATTTGTAAAAAGATACATCTATGGCCATACCACCTTGAACGCACCCTGATCTTGTCTGTAAAGAAGTACAAAGAAGTCTGTATACATCTTCATGCTTTATCTCTCTTTTTTCTTCCACCTCCTTTTACTGAACAGTTGAGAATTCAGAATGACAAAAAGGAAACATTGTATTCCCAATCACTTAGTCATTCAATAGGAATGACTGCATCACGCAATATTTTGTACAAGAACTTAGTACTATCCCATTTTGCAAAAAAAACTTTCAGTGGCATTATTTCATATTCTGTGATATTTGTGCACCAAAATGTACTTGATACAGTTAGTAAGTGGACAATTGCTAAAGGCAGGTGTATCTACAAAGGTAACTAGAAGGAAATAGATTACATAAAATATTCATGGATTACTCAATATAATTGGTGGTTATAAATTTAAAATTTAAAATTATTTGTAATTATTGAGTGAAAAAAAGATCATTTTCTCTTTAACAAAATAGTGAGCTATAAGTTTTCAAGAATATAGCATTTGGCAATGTAAGTATAAGAAAAAGAATCAGGGCTGGGCACAGTGGCTCACGCCTGTAATCCCAGCACTATGGGAGGCCGAGGTGGACAGATCACGAGGTCAGGAGATCAAAACCATCCTAGCCAACGTGGTGAAACCCCATCTCTACCAAAATACAAAAATATTAGCCAGGCGTGGTAGCACGTGCCTGTAGTCCCAGCTACTCAGGAGGCTGAGGGAGGAAAATCACTTGAACCCGGGAGGTGGAGATTGCAGTGAGTTGAGATCGCGCCACTGCACTCCAGCCTACCTAGTGACAGAGCGAGACTCCGTCTCAAAAAAAAAAAAAAAAAAAAAAAAGAATCAGAAGTAATGACAAACTAGAATCTATTAGAGACGTGTTTAAAATTTAGAATCATTATTGTTTTTTAATGATGCAGATACAAGAAGAACAACCAGAAATAATAATAAGCTATTTACAAGATAGTCATTTTCCAGGTTCTTGAATGATAGATTATGATTAGTCAGTCACATTCAAGGGATGTTGCCCATTTCAGGTATATAGGTCCTCAAAGACAGCAAATGTAGAATAAAATTAGGGTTTGATATATTAATATTTTTTAAAACTTCTAAGAAAGTTGTTTTCACTATTCCTATATTTTTCTTCATATAAGTCACTTCCCCCTTTTTTTTTAATCTCCGACCCTGCCCATAAAGTACTTTCTAAAATTGACTTTAAAATGAAGATCTACTGGACCCAGATGGTCAATAGTGATGACTGTTTTTCCTGGTATACTGAGAGTTAAATGTGTTAGCATAAAAACGTTAATCTAAATGACAACATTCAACATTTTTATTTTTTTTATTTTTTAATTTTTATGGGTACATAGTAGGTGTATATATTTGTGGAGTACATGAGATGTTTTGACGGAATGTGAAATAGTCACATTATGGAGAATGGGGTATCCATCCTGTCAAGCATTTATCCTTTGTGTTACAATCCAATCACACGCTTAGTTATTTTAAAATGTATAATTAAGTTAATACTATAGTCACCCTGTTGTGTGATCAAATAGTATGTTTTATTCATTCGTTTTTTTTTAATTCCTTAACCATCCCCACCCCACCTCTCCCCTACCTTCCCACCACCCTTGCCATCCTCTAGTAACCATCCTTCTACTCTCACTGTCCATGAGTTCAATTCTTTCGATTTTGAGATCCTACAAATGAGAACATGGGATGTTGTCTTTCTGTGCCTGGCTTATTTCATTTAACGTAATCTCCAGTTCCATCCATGTTGTTGGAAATGGCAGGATCTCATCCTTTTTTATAGCTGAATAGTACTTCATTGTGTATATGTACCAGATTTTCTTTAGCCATTTATCTGTTGATAGACACTTAGTTCCATCAACATTGCAACACATAGTTTCATCAAATCAACAAGATTTGATTGTTTCTAAATCTTAGCTGTTGTAAACATTGCTGCAACAAACATGAGAGTGCAGATATCTCTTCAATATCCTCAATGAAGCATTTTAAAATTTTCAACCCATAAACAAATATTTGCCAAAACATTAATATCTCAGAGATACATGTATGATTTGTTTTGTAAGTTATTTGACTCATGATAATTTCTTTAGTGAGAGAGAGAGATATATACATATACATATATGTCAAACAACAATGGCAGAAGGGAATAGAATTCATTGCATTTAGGGACAACATAAAAATTAACTTGGTTTCTTTTTTAAACAGTGACTTGGATATGTCGGAATTCTTAATTAATCCAAATGCAGGTCCTTGCCGCTATAATTTGATTGCTGTTTCCAACCACTATGGAGGGATGGGAGGAGGACACTGTAAGTTGACAGTTTGCCTTTTTACCCAATCGTGGTGTTTGAAGAACTCCAGACTTTTTTCTTTAAGATATTTATTGCTTCTTAAGGATAAAATATCAGATATGTCTTGCATATAGTAGTTCAGTATTGATTAATGAATGAGTCAGCTTTTGAACATTTTTTTTTCACATAGGGTATAGAGAATTGAGTTCATCATACTCCTCAGTTCAAGGCCCAGGAGGGAATGTTGTCCCATTTAGAGTGCATTTCCCTCCACATTCTCCTTCCCCTTTGCTTTCTAACATGTTTGATGCAGATACTCTTATAAATCATTAATATTTATTCATTTAATTGATACTGTGCTATAGATCTCACCAGATCTCAACACTTATTAAGACTTATCTGTGTTACTTTGTGTCCATTTAGTCAGTTGTTTCTCACTGCTTATGATTTACATCTACCATATTTTATCTCTCCACTTACCTCATGATGGACATCTAAATTGCCTTTCACTTTCTACCACTGTAAGACTGATAAACCATTGTTTATGGTATCCTATGTAAGAATTTATTTAGGCTGCATACCCAAAAGTGAAATTGCTGAGTTTAAGTGAGTAAATGTTACCAGATTGCCCCCCAGGATGGCTCTAACACTGGACACTCTGCAAGCAGTTGATATTTCTGTTGAATGATATTTACATTCCTTGGATATATCTTACTTATCATTATATATTTTTTGATACACAGTTGGATTTAGTCAAACTTATTTAGGGTTGTTACAATTTCATTCATAAGTGAAATAGTTTTGTAAGTGTTTTATGTTTTCATTATCTTAGTTTGGAATAAAAGTTAGAGTCATAAAACAAGCTGAGATGCTTTATCCTTTTTCTGGTTTTGGAACATCTAGTACAATATAGGAATTAACTGTTCATCAAAGTCTAGTAGAATTAACCTGTAAAGCCATTTAGGCTTTACAGCCATATTGTTTTTATTTATGTCATGCCTATTGGTCTATTCAGTTTTCTTTTTCCTTTTGTGTATATTTTGATGTTCTCTCTGTTTCTAAAAATGTATCCCTTTCATTGAGGTTTTTCATTTTATTTAAGAATTGCTGTTTGTAATGCTTATATCACACTGTTTTTATCCTATTTTCATTCTTTTTCTCTTTTTTTTTTAAATCAATTCTTCTTGGCCAGGCACAGTGGCTCATGCCTGTGATCCCAGCACTTTGGGAAGTGGAGGTGGGTGAATCACGAGGTCAGGAGATCAAGACCATCCTGGCCAACGTGGTGAAACCCCGTCTCTACTGAAAATACAAAAATTAGCTGGGTGTGGTGGTGCGTGCCTGTAATCCCAGCTACTCGGGAGGCTGAGGTAGGAGAATCGCTTGAACCAGGGAGCCAGAGGTTGCAGTAAGTCGAGATCACACCATTGCACTCTGACCTGGCAACAGAGCAAGACTGTCTCAAAAAAGAAAAAAAAAGTATCGGTCTTCCGAGATTTCTATCTTATTAGTCTTTTCAAAGAATTAGCTTTTCATCTTATTAAATTTTTATTTTTGTTATTGTATGTATACTTTTTATAATTATTATATTTTATTTTATCTATACATTTTTTTTTAGACCAGGTCTCTCTCTGTCACCAGGCTGGAGTACAGTTGCACGATCTTGGCTCACTGCAACCTCCACCTCCTGGATTTGAGTGATCCTACCACCTTTGCCTCCCAAGTAGCTGGGACTACAGGCACATGGCACCACACCCAGCTAATTTTTTTGTATTTTTAGTAGCAGTGGGTTTTCACCATGATGCCCAGGCTGGTCTTGAACTCCTGGGCTCAAGAGATCCTCCTACCTCAGCCTTCTGAGTGGCTGGGACTACAGGTGCACACCACCACACCTGGCTTGTATGTATTTATTCTACCTAATTGATTTCTTCCCTTCCTTTCATTGTATGGTTCCTCTTGTTACTTTGGGTTTCTATGTTACTCTTCTTGCAACTTCTTGAATTGAATGCTTAGCTTTTTGCTTTTCATTGTTTCTCCTATATTGAAGGCTAATTAAAAGGCTATAAATTTCTGCTAAGTACTGCTTTAGCTGTGCTTCAGATTTTCATTATCTTTCAATTGTATGTATGTTTTAATTTCCTTTATGATTTCCTAATTAGCACAATGTCATTTAATCATATGCTTAGTTTTCAAATATAGAGTTTGTCACTTCATTCTTTTATTACGTAGCAGTTGAGAGCATCGTCTACATTAATCTTTAGGAGTCTGAAAGTTCCAACATGTCTTAGTACATGGTCTGTTCCTTAAATGTTTGTATGCTTGAAAAAATATATACATTCCCCATTTAAATATAGAGTTCTTTGTATCTCTGATAGTTTAAGCTTATCAACTGTATTCAAACCATTACTATCCCTGGTTATTTTTTATGTTCATTTTATTCCTGAGAGGAATTTGTCAGGTCTCCTACTAAAGTGTTGATTGACCTGCTTCTCCCAACAGTTTTATTAGTTGTTAATATTTTGCATAGTTATACTTATGTTCATAATGGGTAGCTCTTCTATGTTGTTCCTTTTAACACCGGGATTTGACATTCTTTGCCCCTTTTTTCTTTTTCTCAGGTATTACAAGTGTTACTCTAGCTTTCTTCTTGATATCATTTAATTTACAAACTCTGTGCCTTTGTGTTGAGTGTGTCTCTTACAGATCACACAGACCTAAGTGCAGCATCTGCTCTGCGCTGGTCTTGGGTTGAGATCAACGAACTCACAGCGAAAGGCTTCACCCAGCACCAGGTTTACTTAGATTTAAGAAAGGATGCAGGTCAAGAAACAATACAGCATGCACAGCAACAGCTTAGCAGAGGTCCTTTGTAGCTGGAAGGAGAGAAAACAGGGAAAAGTGTGCTCAAAGTATTCAGCCCACTGCTGTTTCATTCCACTCCTCACCAAGGCTGATTTTTAACCAGCTTCATGGGGCACAGTCATATTAGTTGTCAAATATTTTGTTAGCCCAACAGGACTTTCAAACAGCAATAAGACTCTGATTCAGTTAGCCTAAGTATTGCTGATTTCTGTGACAAAAATTGAAGCATGAAATTTAAAAGCTTTCTTCTAGATTGTTTTCTCATTTCTGTCTCCATCCATTCTGTCGCATTCTGCAGCCATCTTGAATGCACACAGAAATATTATTGAGTTCATATATTGAGAACAGGGTTCTCAATTTTTTGTTGTTGTTGTTAGTTCGTTTGACTCTAACTTCCCTCTGCTTCTACGGTTTTTCTCCATGGTTGATTTTTGAAGAGAGGGAACCAACACCAGGTAGAATATGAAACATTTCTTCCACCTGCTAGGTACTCAGTAAAATCATTAACCAAACAACTTAGAATTTAAACTGTTATTTTATTGTGATTGATTGGTTGGTTGGCTGGTTGGTTGATCGGCTTGTCTTTTGAATTATCTTCTGGCCACCAGTGGAGGTTCACCAAAGATAATGCTTACCTTACTTTCAAAGTATTGTCATTCCCTCTGAACATCATCTAAACAGGTAACTTAATAGAAAGCGAATATTGCCCTTTGATTTCAGCCATATTAAGGATAATACCTCAATTTCTTTCTTACATACAAATGGGAAGAATAATAATATTTACTTTAGGATGGGAAGAATTATTTAGAAGCCATACCCTACAAAGTGTCACTTTTTAGAAGCAATGACCACATATAATTATTTTGGAAACATTGTGCAACTTTATTTCTTCAGTTATTGAGTAGTTTATACAAGGCATGGGATGGGAAAAGGGGCATTTTTTTAACTTAAAGATAAAGCAGATCTTTAAAAATTATGTGGATTAATGAATCACTTTTTGCCTTTTTCTTGCTGTGTAGAGTCAATCCTTTGTATCAGTGGATACCACAGATGTTAAAGTTCCTTATATAAAATATTGTAGTATTTGCATATAACCTACCCACATCCTCTCATATACTTGTATGTGTAGATTATTAGTAATACCTAATACAATGCCTGCACATCACTTCATTCACATGAATGCAGCATAGTACTCAGCACATGGTAAATTCAAGTTTGTCTCTTCAGGACTTTGTGGAATTTTTTTTTTTCTCAAATATTTTTGATCTGTGGTTGGTTGGGTTCAGGGATGCAGAACCCATGTATGCATAGGACCGACTATACTTTTGTTAAAGACTAAAAGAGATTCTGATGTTTAAAAAAAAAAAAAAACACTATAGCATAATGAGTAGAGGTATCAGAAAAGAAATTGTTATACAAAATTTAATAATAGTTGAAATTTCAAACTATGAAGTCAGAAACAGATCTAGGTTTAAATCCTAACTGCTAGCTAACAGTATACTACCTTGAGTAAATTATCCTTCTTTTGATGTCTTAATTTCTTGTCTCTAAGGTAGGGAGAATTGTAATGATAATACCTTCTTTATGAGACAACACATGTAAAGTGCATAACACTATGCCTGGTACACAGTAAGCACTACATGAATGTCAATTACCATTTATTATCATTAGTGTTACTCTGTGAATTTAAAAATAATGTTTTTTCCTGAGATGAAAAAAGAATGTTTCAACTTACATGAAAATTATTTTAGGTATCTAATTGCGGAAATTAGAAATCATTTGAATCAATTGAATGTGTAATAAATAAGCCTCATAGATGATTATCAGGCAGTTTTAGTAGATACTCCTTATATAGATGATTATAGAGTTTTGAGGAGTTCCCCAGAAAACCAAGATCATTTTTGTCACAGTGATTATATTTTTTTCATTAGATACTGCTTTTGCAAAAAATAAAGATGATGGAAAATGGTACTATTTTGATGACAGTAGTGTCTCCACTGCATCTGAAGACCAAATTGTGGTAAGTTTGTCTTATATTTCCTGAAAACTATGGGATTCACTGCCTTAAGGAGTGAATATAAATTAATAAAAGGGGCTTATGGAACACTGTAATTTATATTCTAGTAGCTTGAGTAGCTAAAAGAGACTGACTCTTATTTAAAGAAATGTCAAATTGTCCCCTAAATGGAAATTTGTCTTCTAAATTTTCCCACCAACAAAAGCATAAATTGCAAGGTGAAAAAATTTTTGGTAGTTTTCAACATGGAGTTTCTAATAAAAATAATTAAGTTTTGCTTTGGAAAGTAGATTCAGCTCTTAACTTTCTAGACATTGACTACTTAAAGCCAGAATGTTTAAACAAGAGAAAAAAAAATCCTTGAAGTACCTTACTGTATCTGTGATCTTTAAAGTCTTATCCTGCCTTATGAAAATTAAGTATTTAAACTCAAAATGACATAATTAGATAAAACAAATTACAGATTTATAAAGGATTAATACTTGTGTACTTACTACTTTGACATTTTCTGAATAGTAAAAAAATGAGGAATTTCCATCTGTTCACACTTGCATCAGTTTATCATCCACCGCTGACTCTCTCAGTATGGGTTTGTGTATACACAGATGCATACATATATATGTATATATGCTGTCATTTATCTCCCTGTATTTATGACAGACTATAAATATTTTTTAAATTGTGTTTTAATTAACCACATTTTTTGTTTATACTTAAACTCCTAATTTCTTTTTTTCTGCAAAAGAAATTCAATTCTGTTCTCCTCCTTAATCTCCCAGTCCAGACATTCTCAAATTGCCCACCTCCTCATCAGTCTTATTAACAACACTGCCCTAATCTTGGCTTCAAATAAACAGTTATCTTGTTTATATATAGTTTACAAATTTGATGTTGCCATGCATTTTAACAATGATGATTCTTCATTTAGTCAACAAATTGAATACGATAGAGAGAGAGAGAGATGCACAAAAGACTCCATTCTAAACAGAGTTAAAAAGACAGTTGTCACTCAGTCCAGAGCTTAAAAGGTAGCTATCTCTGATTTATAAACTAAAGAAGACAGAGAAGTAAATTAACAATTACAGCATAATAAGTACTATTAAATACCTTACTATGGCCACTTAGAAAGGGAACTTCTGTCTCAACTCAAATTTAGGGTTTGAGGGGACAATACCAGTACAGGGAAGTTCTTGTGGTAAAGATGATGTCTGACTTCGTCTGCTAGTAAAAATAAGAGTAAATTAAACAAAAGGTGTTCTAAGCAAAGAAAACTGTATCTACAAAAACAAGGAGGCATGACAAAGCATGATATTTTAAGGGAACAGCACATAATTGGATGTGACTGAAAGGAAAAGCTCTTAAAGGGACATGGGGAAGAAATTAGGCTGGAGATAAATTTAGCGCTTAGATCAAGAAAAGTGGCATTCTAGTTGTTTAGACATTTTCTTACAGACTATGAGAAGCCATTAGATTGTGAAGCAAGAGAATAACATTGTTCAGTTTGTGTCTTCACATTTCTCTGAGAACATCGTAGAAGATAGATTGGAGACACTGAATAAAGAAACAGAAAAGCCATACAGGAGGCTGTCACATAATTTAAGCAATTAAAATAGTAGTTAGAACAATATAAACAAGGGAAGAATGGATTTATGAGATATTTACTGGATAGAATTAATATAACTTGATAAAAGATATAATAAAGATAATAGATGTAGAGATCCAGAGGAGGAGAAGGGCACCCATTTCAGTTGTTTATTAGGTTATTGACCCTACTGAAAGCCATTTTACTAGGATGGTTTGGGGAAAAGCTAGATTACTTTGAGTTGAGAAGTGTGCATGAGAGTGAATGATGAGTATTGACTATTCTGTTTATCACCCTGACTGTGAGGAAGAGGAAGAGAGAGGTATATGGCAGCTAGAAGGGGAGGTAGAATGGAGAGGGACTTATAGATAGGAAAAACCTTAGGTATTTGTTAAGGCCAAAGAGAAAAGTCCAGTGGATAAGGACTCATTAAAGATACACAGTGATCATTGATGGAACAGTATCTTTAAGATGGTAGGAAAAGGTGGACTCTACAGCAAACATGGGATGAAGTGACTAGTATTAGAAGGAAGGAATTTACCTTTTCCTTAAGAGATGACAGGAAAGAAAGCGTAGAATTCTATTTTACATTAGAGTAACTAGGTTAATTGGTGATACAGTTGCATTTATTTCTTGGTCCAAATAATTTAGAAGCACATAAAAATTTGTAATTCTAACGACCATTCTTCCTTTATTAGAAATTGTCTTCTATTTAATGAATTTTGGTAACTTCCATTTGACCATGCATGGTTTTTCTATTTGATTTATGCCCTCTCACCAAAATTGGTGACCAGCTAAAAATTCATAATTTGTTTAATGTGATATTTGAGAATCATAACCATTTTAACATCCTTTGTTTTGACAGTCCAAAGCAGCATATGTACTCTTCTACCAGAGACAAGACACTTTCAGTGGAACTGGCTTTTTTCCTCTTGACCGAGAAACTAAAGGTGCTTCAGCTGCCACTGGCATCCCATTAGAAAGTGATGAAGATAGCAATGATAATGACAATGATATAGAAAATGAAAACTGTATGCACACTAACTAATGAAAGTCCTAGAAGCCATAAAAGAGAGACTTTCCTGCTGGTGGTATCTATGGAAATGAAGAAGTTACCCACCACATTAAAACAAAAGTCTGAGATGGGGAGTTTCAGATAACCGAATGTAAATCCTTTATCAGATTTTAACTTGTGCAGTACTTGAAGTGAAACACAATGAAAACTTTAACAGAAATTGTCTCTTAATACATTTACAGTCTTGTATTTACAAGCTAAATATATATAGGAAATCACAAATAAATCCCTTTTAAGTTTGCTGCTGTTTTGATCAATTATGTTTCCTTTAATTTTTTGGATGTGAGTTGATGACAAATGTTAAATTTGTGGATGTTGGTCCTTTATTTTGCTCTAATAATACTGCAAGAAAACTATGGCTGAACTTAGTTTTTGGATAATCTAGTTCATGTGCATTAGGCTGCCATACATACTACTATGATATTTAGCTGCAGTATCAATGTGGCATAAATACTGCGGCAGTATTCTTCAAAAACCACAGTTTCAAATTTATCCCGGTAATCCATGTGGGCCTATTAAAAAACCAAATCATGATACGAGAAACAACCTTGGAAAAGCTATTTCCTTTTGTAGTACCATTAAAAATCCAGAATATTATATTCATTTTACTGCCACTGTGGAAACAGGTTCTAGATTTCATACTCCATCTAAAGTCATTTTTCAGTTACATGTAAGTATTATTTACTGCTATTGGGATCTATTCTTTCAGACATTCAGAAACATTTTTTGCTTTAAAATGCATATCTTTAATTGGGTGTTGGTCCAAAATTAAAATTTTTGCTGTCTGTTTTTCTCTACCCCATTTTGTGGTAATTTGGCAACTTTAGCTCTCCCAATTATTGTAATGTAAGGACAGACTTAATAGTATTCTGTATCCATAGTAATAATTGCATCAAGCTTAAATGAGAAATTTTTTTCATATACTGGCCTTTAAATCATTAATGGACAATTGGCTATAAAGGTAGGTCTGTTAACTTTCTTTGTGTGTTCCTGATGGAATTCACCATAGCCTTACAGCTTTTCTCAGAAGGTAACTTGTTATAAGAGAAATGGCATTTGCATGTTCCAGAGTCAGAACCTGTACAGTATATACAGCATAAACACCTTGAATTTGATTTTAGTTCACCACATTCAAGGATCCAGGATGCCAAAAATATGTGTGAACATTTGAAACATTTTTATTTGCTGCTTTTTCCCTTTGATCTAGTTGAAAGAATGTATTGTAAATTGGCATACAATACTGCCTTTAATAGAAAACCTAAATGCTGGGGCACATTTCACATATCGACTACCTGAGAAATTGCTTTGTGTCCCACTGTTATTAAAGCAAAAAGTATAATGTTCTTCACTTGAACTAATCAAATACAATAGATTATAAATTGTGTATTGTAAATAAAAGTTCACTCTGTGAGTGCACATTTTGGTAAATTATTTATTTATGTTAGCATTTAAAAGTTTTAAAAAAATGCATTTGACCAGGATAAATGAGGTATGTTGATCATGGCTTTGCTTTATATCTTGATATTAAAGCTGGTTTATCATCCTGGTATTTTAAAAGCTGCTTTGGGTTTTTTTGTTTTTTTGGTTTTTTTTTCTTTTTTTCTTTTTTAATGTAAACTAACCTCCTGCATGACAGAGGTTAAAATTTTGTCTGCACTTGAGTTCACTTGAGTTTACATTTGAAATGTGCATGTTTATTTATACAGATTTCAATAAAGCTATTCAAGGCCTTATTTAGTCTTTTATTTCTTACTCTTAATCTTTTAATAAAAATCCCCTACTTTATGGTTAGATTACTATATGCTAGACTTTTTAGTTATAAATAGTTAATACTAGAAAGGAAATTATGTCAGAGCAAAATGAATCCTACTATTAAGGACATGTTTTAAAGTTGATATTTTTCAACTTTAATATTTATTCATTAAGCATATGTTTGTGTACCAATCACTGTTCTAGAGTCTGGAGATACAGCAGTAAACACATATCCTTACCTTCACAGAGCTTACATTCTTTCTGCCATCTACCAACTAATGGACTATATTTCCATTTTTCTGAAGATTTAAAGAAAAGTCAAAGCTAAATCTTTTAAACCTAGATTGTGGTCTCCATCCTAATTCTTCAGAGACCACTTTCTTTTTAATGCCTGTCATTAACTTCTATTACCACTAAAAGAAGTGATGTTAATAATGCCATTGAAACGTCAAACTCAAATGTCATTTTTCAGCTGCAAAAAGTAGACTTTAAAAATAGTGCAAAAGGGGCCCGGCACGGTGGCTCACGCCTGTAATCTCAGCACTTTGAGAGGCCGAGTTAGGTGGATCATGAGGTCAGGAGATCGAGACCATCCTGGCTAACATGGTGAAACCCCATCTCTACTAAAAATACAAAAAATTCGCCAGGCTTGGTGGTGGGCGCCTGTAGTTCCCTCTACTTGGGAGGCTGACGCAGGAGAATGATGTGAACGCGGGAGGCAGAGCTTGCAGTGAGCCACGATCGTTCCACTGCACTCCAGCCTGGGCAACAGAGCGAGACTCCGTCTCAAAAAAAAAAAAAGTAGTGCAAAAGGATAATACATATTCTAATTAAAAGTAGGTGTTCGGCCTGGGCACAGTGGTTCACGCCTGTAATCCCAGCACTTTGGGAGACTGAGGCAGAAGGAACACTTGAGCCTGGGAGTTTGAGACCAGCCTGAGTAACAGTAAGAACCTCATCTGTACAAATATTTTTTAATTATCTGGGTGTGCACACACTTGTGTTCCCAGCTACTCAGGAGGCTGAGGTGAGAGAATTGCTTGAGCCCAGGCAGTCAAGGCTGCAGTGAGCCAAAATCACACCACTGCATTCCAGCCTGTGCAACAGAGCAAGACTCCATCTCAAAAAAAGAAAAAAAAAAGATATTCATAGGTAATACAGGGTAGTGGGAATATATCTAGACTAGAATTTCTACTTCTAGCTTTGTCACTTAGTAATCATGACTTTGAACTTAATATTTCCTAGTCTGTTTCTTTACCTGTAGAATAATGATGATAACAATAGCCAGCATTTATTGAACACTTACTGTAGACCAGGCACTCTATTAAAATGTTTATATGCATTCTCTCATTTAATCCCACAACAGCTATGAGGTAGGGACAGTTGTCATCCCCATTTTTCACATGAAGAAACCAAGATACAAAGCATTTAAGTAATATTCCCAAGCTCACACAATTGCTATGTGGTAGAGCCAATATTCTATCCTCAGATATATACATACTACCTCTCACTGTGTTATAGTGTCTGCCTCATAGGATTGTTGAGAGCTCAAATGAGATCATGTATTTTATGGGAAGAGCTTTGTAAACTTTGTTACACGCTCACTGATTTCTTCGGTCTGAATAGACATCTTGAAGTCCAATGACTTTGCTTTTAAAGGTATATTTAGCTCAGTATTTGAGCATTGAATAAGAAAGTACCCACTGGAGTATTGACTGACCCATTCTCTTTTAAAAACTAATTTCATTTAATTTATATACTTTTATTACAATTTTAATTAAATGGTAAATACAATGTGACATACTTTTTTCTTGTCCTTTTCATCTAACTTGTGTCCCCTTCTTTCCATTTTCCCAAATGCAACCCTGAATTTCAGGACTTCGTAAACTCTACTTTAGTTTTGCTTTCCATTCGTTCATTTGTTTGGAGACAGGGTCTCACTCTGTCGCCCAGGCTGGAGTGCAGTGGCGTAATCATAGTTCACTGTAACCTTGAACTCCTGGGCTAAAGTGATCCTCCTGCCTCAGCCTTCTAATTTAGTTTTAATTAATCTCCTTGAAAAAGTTGTAACCTGGTGCTTTATTTAAATATCTTGCTTTCTCATAATCTGTGTTCTTTTAGTAGTCCTGTATTTATCCTTGCTTTCTGACAACTGGATATAAAACTACACAAAACATTGATATGGGCACGAAGAAAATCAGTAAGTACCAAAATAGATACAACATAAAGGTGGTGGGGTTTTTTATGAACTAATTTGATTGAAGTGAGTTTATCTTATAAAATAAGCCAGGAGGCTGAAATGGAGTCTCCTTCAGTGATACACCAAAGGGAGTGTAGGGTGTAGTAGGAGCTTTCTACCTCAGAGATAATACATATTCTAATTAAAAATGTATTAGAGGAGAGGAGGAATATATTAGACTGATAACATTTGAGTCTGATGTATGGTGACAAGAAAAAGCAGGCCAATTTTTTGTTTTATTATTTTTGAGTTATCTACAGATAATGCATTTCATTATTGCCTGCTTCCAACTCTCCCTATGTAGTATGCTTCTGATCTCCTGTGCTTGTGCAGTGTAGATGAGCTCACCACTTTAATTTTTAAAATAGAAATGTGGAAAATTCTTGAATCATAGACTAGAAGAAGGAACCAGAGGTCCCCTAAAATATCAGAGGAGTGAGAAGGAAAGGAAAAGCCCCTTTCTAGAGCCGAAGAATAAGAGAAGAAATTTTTGCTCATTTTTTTTTTCTTACTTTACAGTAAAATAAAAATGTTTTTGCTCTTTGAATAACTTAACATGAGGAATTTGGAAACAACATTTCTTGAAAATATATTGATACTTATTCCCAAATAATTCTTTCAAGTGCCACTTGACCAGAGGATAGGGAAAGGAGGAAAAGGTGAGTGTATTTATATCCTTGCTAGTTTTCATTATATATTCAGTTGCAGATCTATATTATATACCATTTTATTATCAGATTTTCTAGTTATATGTGATGGTTTTTAAATTAAGCATTCTAGGTTTGGAGACCATTTCAATTCAATATGTATGTGTTTTATGTGTTTAATTCATATTTACTATATATTAAAAGAATTTCCAAATAGCTCAGATAACAAAACTTTGGTTTAAAATTGAGTTATTTTATAAGCTACATAGAATACATCAAAATTTTATAAGGTGCATAGAATAGGCTTTAAAATACCAGAATTAGGAAAATAAAACATAGATGGTAAAAATTCAAATATTTATCAAGACTTTTTTCTTCACTAATGATGAGGTAAAGAATTTTTAAATGGATAATATAAAACAGACAGTTCAAAAATTGTTTTTGGAAAATATATGCATCGGGAAACATACCCCATCGTGCCATGGTTTAATTATTCCCCAGCTCTACTTTTGGGAGCCTGGAACTTGTCAGGGTTGTGAAATAGACCTTAGACTATTAAGGACATTCAGAAACTGGCTAAGCCATTCAAGGAAAATCAGGAATTTACATAATATATTGGAACTAGAGTCTCAAAGGACAGAGAGAAAGTCAGTCAAATGGGTTTTGATATTTTTTTTTCCCTAGAAATGTGTAGCAAATGTGATTTTACAAAGCAGCTAAAAATACAACTATCTCTCTGGAATTGAAAATGTGTAAAGTAAGACCACACACTTTGAATATGCACAAAATATATTTTAAATGTTTAAATTGTATCAGTAATTTACTATGTTCTACTGTAGAATATCATGATTAATGTTGGTGCTCGTGTTGCTAAAGTTTTTTTTTTTTCTCATGTCAGGAACTTGCAGCTTGTTCTATATAGTTTGGTGAAACCAAAAAAAAAAAAAAACAATTTTTATTTGCTGTGACATTTAAGTTTGTTGCTAGCTGGAGTTAAATCTACATACATAAAAGTAAAACAATAAATATGGAAACATCCCAACAGTCTTTCCCATAATGTGTATTATTACATTCTTCTCAGTAATGACACATACTTAACATTTCCCAAGCTGTTGTTTTAAACCTTAAAACATCACCACATTTCTAATTTTTATTTAAAATCTTTCAGAATTCTTAGACTTTGTAACGTATCAAACACAAGTCTCTCATTTTTAATAGTATTTGCTTTTCTTTTAAACTCCATAAAGGAATGTTTGATGTTAACAGACGTAACTCTTTAATGCTCTTCTGTTCATGATTAAGTATGCTTTTAAGTAATTTAGACTAATGTATTAAAGTGTTCACTTATGTCTAGTCATATGTGTACCTACTCTTTTCTAACCTTGAGTCATTTCTATTAAATACAGCATTTAATCTTCTTTCAAGTAAGAACCATCTTTCCATTATATCAAGTGGACAATTTTTAAATTGTCTGATAAGTTCATCCAAATTAATTCCATCATGTCTGTTTAACTCATTTCCCCAAAAAGACTGAGACCTCCAGCCCGTCATTCAGTTCTTGAACTCCCTAATAGAAACACCAAGGATTATCTATTTGTAATCACATTGTGGTGAATTATCAGTGTCCCAAGAATTATGTAAAGCAAATAGGAATTATTTTAGAATTGCCCTTATTGTTTTAAAAAAAATTTTTTTAAAAAGTAAAGATGGGAAGATTACTTAATAGTATTTTTTTTTTTTTATTTGAGAGAGAATTCCTGTTGGTCTCCCTTAAATGCTGAGTGACTTTGGTAAAGATTTTTAATCTCTAGAACTCAGAGCTATATTCACTTTTGAGCTATGTACCTATTGTATAAGTTGAAGTAATACTGCAAATTCAAACAGTAAACATCATTAATCCTAGATATTTGAGTACTACCTACAGTGAGATATGGTAGGAAACATTCTATATTTACAACAACTTCCACCACAGCTAGCTCCAAACAAATCATTAACCTCTGAATCACAGTTTTCACAACCATAAAATTATGCTGGTCTCTTAGAAGTATTGAGTTTATGGATGTGGAGAGGAAGGCCTAAATTTCATTTTTGAAGC